CCCCGAACTCTACGGTGTTCAGTCTACGCAATGCACCATCAAGCTTGTTCCAAACTTCCACCACACGCGGAAAAAAAGAGAATTTGAAACAATCCAAACGAGACCTGAAGGGTACAAGGTTCAAAGCGTCTGTACTACGTGTTGTACGCGCTGGTATATCAGCGAAAGATAAGGGCGCGTGAACGCGGGTCATTTTGTGTACAATCTTGTGCAACAAGATAATACTCTCACGTGTACGGCGGTGTTCCAGTGAATGAAGTGACAACAAATGAGCATGTGAAGACGGGGAGAAGTCCCGATCATAACGGTTAAAAACGAATCGTATAGCCTTATTCTGCACAGATTCTAACCTGTTTTTATCTTGCTCAAGATGACGCAACCAAACCACAGAGGCGTACTCGAGCATCGGTCTCACTAGTGTCTTGTAGGCAGTTAACCTACAATCTTTTGTCGAGTTTTTCAATCTTCGCTTTAAGTAACCAAGTTTCCTTAGAGCTTGACAAGTTATCTGATCAACATGTTTGCCCCATTTAAGGTCATGTGTAAAGGTGATGCCTAGGTATTTGAATTCACTCACATGTGCTAGGGTGGACCCATTGTAGTTACAACTGAAACTGAGAGGCTGTTTTTTATTTCAGAAAGTCATAGCTACAGTTTTCTTGTAATTTATGGGCATTTGCCACGTTGAGCTCCAATCGCAGAATAACGAGAATACGTTGTTGAGGACTGACTGGTCTTGAAAGGTAGTAATGCAGTTATACAGTACACAATCATCGGCATCAGACGTATGTTTACAGGGGTTCCAGAGGTGAGATAACAACATCATTAATAAACATAATAAACAAGAGAGGCCCTAGCACAGAGCCTTGCGGCACACCGGATGTGATTTCAACAGGGGATGACTGCACCTGGTTGAAAGTAACGAACTGAGATTGAGAACGCAAGTAATCCGCAATCCAACCGAGTAATTTAGAATCTTTAAAAAAGGAACTAAGTTTTAGAAGAAGTTTTTTATGGCATACGTTGTCGAAAGCTTTTGAGTAGTCTATGAAAATTGCGTCTGTCTGACCCCTTTTGTTAAGTGATGTGGCAATGTCATGGGTGAATTCTAGGAGCTGCGTTGTTGTAGAAAATCCAGCTCGGAAGCCATGCTGACACCGGGACAGAAGGTTTTTTGCGTTCAAATACTCAACAATATGTTTATGAATGATATGTTCCAGTAGTTTACAACTTGTTGAAATTAGGGAAATCGGCCTATAAATTGGAATGAGTTAAAAAGAAGGACAGCACATGGCGTCGATTACCGGCATCTAAATTGAATTACGAAGAAGATTGTGTATCCATTGCCCCATATTGATGATGCTCTCGATTGTCTGCATGGCGCACGCTACTTTTCATTCATCGACCTTTGCTCTGATTATTGGCAGATTGCCGTGGACGAGAAAGACCAACAAAAGGCCGCCTCCGTCACTCTTCGTGGCCTGTACAAATTCAAGGTTGTGCCCTTTCGTCTATGTAATGCCCCCCGCCATGTTCGAACATATGATGGACTCTTTGCTACACAGGTTCAAATGGTCAACATGCCTGTGTTACCTAGACGACGTCCTCATATTTTCCCCTACATTTGAGACCCACCTTGAGCGTCTGTCAGCCATTCTCAATGTCTTCCGCAATGCTGGCCTCCAGTTTACCTCTTCGAGGTGTCACTTTGGCCGCCAACAGATTAGTGTTGGGCCGCCTTGTCGATGCTTCTGGTGTGCGGCTGGACTTCGAGAAAACTCATGCCGTCACGAGCTTCCCACTACCCGGATCCGCCAAAGATGTCCGGAGCATTGTGGGACTCTGCTCCTGATTCAGGCGGTTCGTGAAAGACTTCGCAACAATTGCCTAACCACTTACCGATCTTCTGAAAAAAGGCCCATTTTTGTGGGGGTCCACTCAAGCTGCCGCCTTCTCTCAGCCTCATCACACTTTTGACGACGCCCCCTATCCTGGACCAGTTTGACTCATTCGCTCAAACTGAGGTCCGAACGGATGCCAGTAGTCACGGTATCGGAGCCGTTCTTGCCCAACACCAACAGGGACACGGCCGCGTAATCACCTTTGATAGCCGCCTCCATACACCTGCAGAGCGCAACTATTGGATCTGGAGCGAGACTGCCTTGCTCCTGCCTGAACAGTCTCAAAGTTCTGTCCATATTTATATGGCACTCACTTCTTCGTCGTTACCGACCACCAGGCGCTCTGCTGGCTTTCATCCTTAAGAGATCCCACAGGATGACTTGGTCGCTGGGCTCTGCGACTTCAAGAATACACCTTTGCTGTGACATAAAGGTCTGGAAGCCTGCATCAGGACGCCGATTCCTTTTCTCGCTATCCAGTTGGCGAATCGGCTGCCGTACCTGACAATGATGCAGCCTTACAGGGCTATCATCGAGCGCGTCGACAACTCTCGATCGAACCGATACCATCGTTCGTTTGTACTCCAGACTGGTACATTATACCGGCATAACTTCCATTCAGACGGCCCATCTTTGCTGCTTGCTATACCCAAACACCTCCGCTCGGCTATACTCCAAGAACTTCACAACATTCCTACTTCCGGTCACATTGGCGTGCCCCGCACATACGACCGGATTTGCCATTGCTTCTATTGGCCAGGTCTCGCACGCTCCGTCAGAAAATACATCGCGACGTGTGAGGAATTTCAGCGCCACAAAACATCGTCGACGCTTCGGGCTGGGCGCTTTCAACCACTCGACATTCCTTTTGAAGCTTCCTTTCGCGTCTGCTTGGACTTACTCAGCCCTTTTTGCCTGTCTTCTGCTGGCAATAGGTGGATAGCTGTGGCCACTGACTACGCCACACGCTAAGCCATCACACATGCCCTTTCGACAAGTTGCGCCACAGACGTCGCCGATTTTCTTCTACGCCGCGTGATCTTGCAACATGGTGCTACACACTAGCTGCTCACGAACCGAGGCCACACATTTTTATCCAGAGTCATAACGGACGACCTACGCTCATGTGCAACGTGCCAAAAGATCACTACGTCGTACCATCCTCAAACAAATGACCTCAGGGAGCGTCTGAACCGAACCCTAACAGAAATGCCTCCAAAGTACTTTTCCTCAGGCCTCTCTGACTGGGACCTCGCACTACCGTACGTGAAATTTGCCTACATTTCTTCGTGGCTTGACCCAGCTGCTTACTCTCCATTTTTTCTGTTGTTCGGCTGCAAACCTATATTGCCCCTCGATACAGTCATTCCGTTGGCACCAGCTCCGACCACAGAATATGCCCTGGACGCCATCAGCCGGATCGCCCACACATGCGAAGCTGCTCGTGCTCGCCTTCTGACCTCCCAAGAAAACCAACGGCGTCGGTATGATCGACGACACCTGCGATGTGCACTTTTTGCCTGGTTTGTTAGTTCTGCTGTGGTCTCCGACCAGGCACATTGGCCTGTCTGACAAACTGCTCTCTCAGTACACAGAGCCATACAGAGTGCTTCGTGCAGTGACTCCCATCGCTTTTGAAATCGCTCCTGCTGCCTCGTCGTCTTCATCTATTCCTCGGGCCAGCGACATTGTACACGTCCCATGCCTGATGCAGTACAGCCCAATGACGCCGATGTCTAAATGCGCCGAGACGGCACCTATGCCGAAGGGGGTTCTGCTACATGTAGGCTCCTACAATGCATATTGTCAGTGTGCGTGTGCACCCGAAAAAGAGAATGAAGGTCGCTTGCTGCTCAAAGCCAGACTAACCAGCGCTGCGACCACTCTTTTAAATGTATTTTGTAAATATATTTGCAATATTTTGACTCGTTACTCACGTAACAATAATTACATAATTCTAAAAGTCATTTGTCATGCTTGGCAGGCTCAAGTACACCCACCCATAATAACATTAAATATGCCTTGGTGACTACTTCGGCATTTAAAGTGGTTCTTTTATGCTACAGGCTTTTTATAGCATGGGAGGTGCAACAAATATTGTTGGTTCGTATTAATTATTGTGTATATGTCGTTCCTTAGCCCCTTGCGTGCAAGAGGTTTCGCAGAGTGCAAGCACATAAATGAGCTAGACAACGCCTTCCTGCAAAGTTCCAACATTTACAACTATGCAAACAGTGGTTGTAAACTATTTGCATAGTACCATTTGCATAGTTGTAAACATAACATTGCACATAAGTGAAAGTTATTTGCATATTTGAAAATAGCAGTGATGTAAATATCATCACCGTAGTTGTTTTACATCTGGTACGAAACAACCAGTAAATAATGTTTCCAACTAGGCTTTCTCTGGCCATGTAGCCAAACAGCCCATTATAAAAATTTGCTTTCAGATGCTCGACAATCAATAGGATGCAACTAGCCATGTTAATCTTCAAAAAAATTAAAGATAATTTCCAGATTTTTTCTGATGTGTACTTAAGCAGAGATCTTACGTATAATCTGCGTACTGTTGCGTTGGTCGGGCCAATGTGCCGGACTAACTATGGTGTACAGTCAATTAATAACCAAATCATTCTTCTGTGCAACAGGATTCCTGAAATAATTGAATACGCTAAGGAGGCTAAAAACATAACACAATTTAAGAAGCGAATTTACAATGTAATAAACAGAACACAAGTCTACAGTGTATGTAAAGGAAATATGTATTTATTTATAGTATTCACTGTTTTTCAACTTGTATTGTATTTCAAAATATGTTATGGTGTTTTGTACTGTCCTGCTCTACCTGCCCGAGGTGCCTCACGAAGAGGGGCCAAGTCAGGAGACACACTCTCCTTTTGCCCCCTTCGTGGGCATTTCTGCGGAAATGTCCGAATAAAATAAATGAAAATGAAAAATGAAAATACAACAATCCCAAACGGGCACTTGAATATATTTGTACAAAAAGTGAAATTTGTCCACACTGCCTCACAATACTATTACAAACATTCAAGTAGGCTGACAGGAGCTGGGTGCAGCTTACAGAGCCCTTTGAATCACCTGTGAGGGTGTGCACGTTTCGGGTAGTGCTGCTGCCGCCGGCGCACGACGGCAGCGCGTCCGCCGGCTCCACCTTGGTGCGGTGGTGGGGGACCACCAACAGGGGCGGCCCTCAGTGAGGCTCCTCCAACAACCGTCCCATCGGGGTGCCCTGCACTGACAAGGAAGCACGGGCACTGCTGATGCTAGGAAAAAAGCTGATAACTTAGTTGAATTACGCGTCAGCAATGTGACTGGGACTAGGTACCACAGAGCAAGTAAATATTGAAAACACAATAGTTCTCCCAGCACTCTTTTATATCGTTATTGTTTTTTTTTGTTGCTTCCGTAGTTATGCTGTAACTACTTCTAGTTTACGCTGTTCATACATTCACTTCTCCCACCAACACCAGAAAACTAGGCTGATGTGAGCCCCCCTCCCCCCCTTCTACCCTTCTCCCCTCACCTAAAGGGCTGCCCCATACTTTTACTCAGTCAGACCCTTTTAAACAATAGGGTTATAGCCTTGAATGTCTTTGTTTATTTGTTTTTTAATACTGTCAACCCCATGCTGGGGTTTTTACAGGAGTGGAAAACTTATAGAATGAATAGCATACACTTGAATGCCGAAATTCGAGCGAAAAAATAAATGAAAGAAATGGGCATGACATAGGTTACAATATCGAGACATACAGCAAATACAGGCATTTACACTAAAAAAAAAATTAAACACAGGCATGTACATTTACATTCTGCGCATTGAAAACAAAAATTAACAGAGAGGCAATATACGCTAAGGCACATTGCTGGGCTAGTTGGTTGAGGTTCATCATATATATGGGTGTAGCGCACCACAACAAGTACACAAAGAAAGTGAGACACACATGCGCTGTGTGTGTGTGTCTCTCTGTCTCTTTGACGTGGTGCGCTATACCCATATAAATGAGGCAATATACATTGACATTGTAAAAACTGGAATAAAAAATTAATAAAAAAAAGTACTGTGACGCATCTGTTTCTGAGAAAATAAGCAATTCTAAAGCTGCAGAAAGTGCCCTGATAGAGGAAGACATCGCGACTGTGTTTGGTAATTCATTTCATTCTTTGATTGCCCTCAAAACCTCAAAAAGGAACTGTATTTAAATGCGTCGTTTCGGGTGGCTGGTGGCTGTATATATAAACTGTGTGTCTAGAGCGCCAATCTGGAGAAATTACAAAGAAATCTAATGAATTAGTTTTAACCTAATTATGAATAATGGGGAAAAAAAATTTTAAATGGTCATGCTTAGTTCTCAGTTCCAGGGCTTGAAGGTTTGCACGGTTGAGAAGTTCGGAAGCAGAGTGCATCCGTTGAAATTTATTGAATATGTACCTGGCAGCCATTCTTTGAAATTTCTCCAGTTTATATAGGTTAGCGGTGGTGTGACGATCCCATACCATTTTAGAATATTCAATTATCAGTAGTACTACCATTTTCAAATGCTAGTACTACTGATAATTTTGAGAAATGTGTGATTATTTCTTTGCCTGCAATAACTCAGTGGTGTGGCCAGTGAATGGCACACCAAGCAAGGCCGTTATTTCTCTTTCTGTCCCCCTCCCCCGCACCAAAAAAAATTTTTTTTTTGCTATTGTTCACAGAGCAAAAAGTGACACTCGACCAAACTTATCTGTCTGACACCCTCTTCAGATAAAGGTGGTGCACCTAACCCCTAAAAAACCATTCTACCTGCGCCTCTGCAATAAATAGGGTTCATCTGCGCCTTCAGGTTGCAGACAATTCTAAGCGAATGAGCCTGTTGTATTTACACATCATATAAATTGTGTGTAAAAATCTTGTTGTGCTTTATATCAGTGAGCTTGCAAGCCTCACGCTGGCACAGATGATAGAAATGGTATATATTTAATGTGAAGGTGCATATCATACACAAACTCCTTGGATTGTAGCTGAAATTATCTGAGGAGTTAGCAGACGGGCTTCCTAAGTTATGGATGAATAATTTAAGAAAAAATAGAACGCAATGCAATAGATGACATACAGCCAGTGTTTAAATTACTTTTCTTTGCAAAAGATTTTTCGCATTTTGTATTTCACACGTGACACAATCAAGCGTGCTTGAGAGAAATAGCAGTAGGATAGTAAACATGCCGACCTGTAATGCGCAGGGCTATTGAAGTAGCTATGCCTCTGAGGAAAACACCTGCAATCGGTGGCACTTCTTCAAACTCCAAATAATTCTGCAGCTCTCAAGGCTTGGACAGCTGCTATTCCACAAGAAGCCTTCCAGATAACAGTCAAGACCTACATTTCGAATGCGAGGACCTGATCCCTTGCTGCGAGCACATTGTAGGCAGAAACGTCAAAATTCAACGTGTTATGTTGGCACAAAAGCCCAGTGCTGTTCCTTGAATTTTCCTGAATATTCCTGCACACTTGCCTAAACCAGCAGCATTAAAGTGCAAAAGGAAACCCCCGAAACTAGCAGAAACCGCGAATTTCCAGGGCCGTGTGTCAACCTTTGGTGTCGATGTGTTTGGCCTTAACATTGAGTACTGCTATATTGACAAAGCTACTGGCGTCCCCTCCGATCCAGAGCTATGCCCAGAGGAGCTACTTGGTTGCCTGCAGTACAAGACTGAAGAAAGTAGCAATCCAGGAATGTCGAGCTTATCCAGGAAGTTTTTTTTTTTTTCTAGGTAGTTCAAAAAAAGGCATTGTCAAAATAAACAAGGCAGTGGTGGTAACAAAAGACTTTACTTTTGTCCCCACTTGTAGGAGGAAGCTTGTCCTCTCGTGCGCATACAGAGAACATAGTTTGGGAAGCGAGTTGAAACTCATGAGCTTGCAGATGGTATCAACTTTTCACAGTTATATTGATCACCTGAAGATATACACAGGCTGTTTTAGCAGCCGATTCCTTTCGATTTCGACCGCAACGTCACCCCCGAAGATCCGGGACGTGCGGAGAATCACTTTCGGGCTGTCCCGGAAACACTTATGCCCACCATGCAAGAACACAAGGAAGAAGCGGCGAGCTCGGTAGAAAAAAAAAGAAAAATCTACAAAGCCAATGAAGCTTCACAAAAAATTACGCTCGGCTACTAAAAACTAAAAAAGACTGTTAATAGGGCCACAGTTTTGGAGAAAAAGTGTAGGACGACATTCGGAAAATTAAAACACGGCTTTCCAAAGGTTCTACCAGTCAAGTGAACTAACTGATGACCGGCCTTCCTCCAGCACAACAACCGATAATGCTGACCGAAACCTCTTTGAACCCTAATTTGCAAAGCATTCCCTTGATAATTTATTTGTTTAAGACGTGACGATGTCCGCAGAGGCAGTATGTTCACCTTTGACATCAACCTATAAGCAGCAGCAGGGCTCGATATTTTTAGGAGCAGGCAAGTAATCAGCCATTTGGTTTCGTAGCGCAACCCTCTGGCTGACCTCGCTTTGAAGCTTTCAGTGCAGCACAAAGAGCGAATTTGAAAAAAAAAAAAAAATTTCTAGATAAGCTCGGCCTTTCAGGATTAGAACATTGTTCGGTCTTGTAGCACAGGGAACCAAGTTGCTACCTCTGGACACAACTTAAGATCGGAGGGGACGCCAGTAGCTTTGTCAACATCGCTGTTTTCCATGTTAACTTCGACACATAGCCACCACTTGCGGACACACGTCCCTCTAAATTCGCGATTCTTCTAAGCTTCGATGGTTTCCTTTTGCGCTTTAAAGGGCCACTCACCAGGCCCCATACCGAATTTTAGTTAGACAGTGGAAGTTGTTGGGTGTCCGATGAGGAACGTTTTGCCACAAAAATTTTTCGAATTGGTTCATTACAAGCGGAGAAAACAGGTTTTTTTTAAAGCAGCACGAAACGAAGATGAGAGGAGGAGATCTCGAAACAAATCGCTTTCAGTACACAGTCATTGAAGACCATCCATCTGTCGCTACTAACATTATCTCTGAAGTCCCACAGGGCTCCGTTCTTGGCCCGCTTCTATTTCTGATCTTCATCAATGACCTTTTTGCTCAAATTTCATCAACCATCTGTTTGTTTGCAAATGACTGCATTCTATACCGACATATCTCTACTACTAACGATCAGGGGGCAGGATGATTTAACCTTAACCAATACTGGTGCTTGACCTGGCTGATGCAGTTAAATGCACCAAATTTAAGTTTATGCACGTGACCCGTAAGCAACATCACCTACACTTCCCTCATAATAAACAATTCCATGCTAGCACAGGTAAAATCTTATAGATATCTCGGCGTAGAGATCGCAGATAATTTAAGTTGGTCTAAACACATTGCAACACTTTCAGCAAGCATTTATAAATCATTAAGTTTCATCAGACGGTCACTTACATTTGTTTCGCCCACAGTTAGACAAATGGCATACGAAACTTTCATACGCACCAAACTTGAATACGTATCCTCTATCTGGAACCCCCATCAAGAGTACCTAATCCAGGAGTTGAAGGCAATACAAAACCAAGCTGCTCGTTTTGTAACTTCAAAATATGATTTTAGACTGAGCGTCACGAACCTAAAAACTTCAATTGGTCTAACCCCTCTGGCATCCCGCCGCAAAATGGAAAGTCTCTGCCTTTTGCATAAGCTCTCTTTCTGCAAGCATTTCTAGATCATTACGTTTCATCAGACGGTCACTTATATTCGCTTCGCCCACAGTTAGACAAATGGCATACGAAACTTTCATACGTACCAAACTCGAATACGCATCCTCTATCTGGAACCCCCATCAAGAGTAGCTAATCCAGGAGTTGGAGGCAATACAAAACCAAGCTGCTCGTTTCGTAACTTGAAAATATGATTTTAGACTGAGCATCACTAACCTAAAAACTTCAATTGGTCTAACCCCTCTGGCATCCCGCCGCAAAATGGCAAGTCTCTGCCTTTTCCATAAGCTCTAATATAACTTTCCTCAACTACGCGAGAGCCTAATCGCACCACCTATGATATCATCACAACGTCTGTTTAACTGTTACAGTGTTCAACACATCCATGGTTTAACTAACGCCTCCAACAAATCATTCCACCTACTGCCATATCATATTGCAATGGACTTTCTGACGATATTGTTATTGAAAGAAGTTAGGTTTAAGATTTATTGTTACAGCACTACTGTCACCAGGCCGAATAGCAGCCTTGTTGT